GTATATGCAATTTTTTTTATAGCACTACTTTCAATATATAAGTCGACCTACAGCTATATTAGAAAAAAATACAATATTTACATTTAAACTACTTTCGAAAAATATGCTATTTCGATTACAAATTTTAATTTGAGGTACTGGTCTACTGGTCAAGACAAATTACTAGATTAATTTCCATAAATTTTAGAGAAAATCAATCGCCTTATTGAAATGTTGTGGGTTTAAAATGAAAAGTTATATAATTATTTACTAATCTCTTAAAACGTAAGGAATAAGCATTTTGTTGCTATAGGTGATGTTGAATTTACCATAAATCTGCACTCTATAACAATTGTTATTTAATTTAATTAAGTTAGGGATCAAGGCTATAATATTCCTGATTATACTGAATATATATTCATTGCCGCTTGTGCCATATTTGTTAAATTCAGGAAATTTTTTTTATCTACATGTATATGTATGTAAGTATATTTTGGAATAAATGGTACCTTTCAAACATAAATATTCCAATTTAATAATTTAATAAACCTTGACTAATCTACGTGTAATTATCCTTTATCATTTTTCTTTTCAAAATACATAATCGAATGAATTCGATTATATTTAAAACAAACTATGGATGAAAACACTAAAAGTGTAAATGATGAAAAAAAAATCTAAAATTCCCAACCTTGCTATTGAATTGGTGAATTTTTTTTTTAAATATTTTATTGGTGTGGGAAAAATTACAAAAATATTATCATAGAATTTTACTGCTCCTTTCCTTTCCTTGAATATTTTTTATACCAGTTTTTTTTTTTAAATCGATTTGAAATTTTTCTAGTGTAACTAAAGTAAAACATCGTTTCTATTTAACGCATTGATGCGTTCGTTTTGCCTGCATGTTTCCCTATTTTATTCGTTGTTTTAGCGTGAAAATCAAATTGGTAAATACAATATTCATCAAATATACAACTATGAGACTTTTTGAGTCTCAACTATTAATAAGTAAATTTAAATAAATATGTACATTACATATATATATATATATATATATAAAATAATGATATATATAAATGCAATGTACTGCTGGTGTTTATGATGCTCTACGTACTGTACAATGTGCCTGCCGTTGCTTGCTTGTTACGGAATTTTAATTTTGTATGCCAACAATTTCCAACAGTTTTCTTTACTTATTTTTTCTTCCTTGTTTTCTCTTTGATTTTTTTTTTATTTTACAGTAAAATTTATGACTTCATTAGTATAAATATGAGAAATGAAAAAAAAAATTGTCATTTTGTAATGCGATTAGCTGCTACGTAATGAAGCGTTACAAATTTAAGAAGAAGTACAAAAACAAAAAAAGAAAAAACAAACAAATTCGAATACCCTTAAAAATTTACACATGTAAGCAGCAGTGGTTTGGAATATGAGAAGTGATTATAAGGCAATTAAAAGCGTTTTGGAACAAATTATGGCTAGCTGTGATATTAAAAAAAAAAGAAAGAAATAAAGATATAAAAAATCGGGGAAAACAAAACTGTGAATTTAGTGTGTTGTTTTTAAAATGAAAATTAAAAATTGTCCTTGAATCTTTAGTTTTTTGTTTTTTTTTGTATTAAATTTAAATGAACGCGTATGTTGACGTGAAAAAAGTGCGATTTATTAATATAATCATATGTGGATAATTGCATGTATTTATAATGTCATTTATTAATGTTATACTGAATATAACTGTGAAATGTTATACTGTGAATTATATATATATATATATATTATATGATACTTAAGAACATGTTCCAGCTAGAAGCGTATATTTGGATATCAATTATATTGCCGTATCGTGTATGAACATTTTATAGACATTCTTTAAACAAATATGTGGCGAAAATGTAATAATAAATTATGTGGTAACAAATTAGAAAAATTATAAGGAAAAAATTATATAGAAAAAAAAAACATTTTGTTTTCGTTCATGCTCATGGTGCGTTTAATTATAATTTAGTAAATTGGTTCATATTTCGTAATTTCCCTCGCCTTTTTCGATATTTGATATTTCACATTTTAAAAAAGAGCCTATATTATTCGAATATTATTAATAGAAGAATAATTTTATGTGTATGTACCGTCGCTTATTCTAAAATTTAAACCAGATTGCGGTTATATCCAAATCAAAATAAAAAATTTACTTTTAAAAACGATATTCATTCAATAAAATACCAAATGGTTATGTATAATATTCAATATAATTGTAAAAATTGGGGCTTGGAATTACGTTTAAGCGACGATTAGGTTTGGAATTATCATTGTTTTGTTAGTAATATATATATATATATATATATATATTAGACGATTGTTCAGTACAAGCATTTTTTTTTGTTCCTTCTTTACTCCTCTTGAGAGCATAGGGCTTCCACAAAGCTTCTCCAACGAACTCTGTTAGGGGCCATTCCTTTTACTTCTGCCCATGTCATGTTAGCCGTGGCGATTTCTTTCTTTATTGTTCTTTGCCACGTATTCTTTGGCTGTCCAAAACTTCTTCTACCCTGCGAATTCCACTCCAATACCTGTCTTAAGGTGGTTTCAGATTAGCGTCGCAATGTATGGCCTATCCATCCCCATTTTTTGTTCTTTATTACTCTTGAGATTGGTTCTTTGTGGCTTAAAGCCCAGAGGTCTGTGTTGCTGATTCGCCTGGGTCAGAATACACGGCAGATTATCCCTATAGACTCCTATTTATGAATACCCGTATTTTATTTGTGTATTCATTTATTGCATTCAGTACAAGCATTTAGTATTACAAAATAAACGTCACTTAAACATCAATCGTGACTGTCAGTTACTATAACTAAAATTATCATTATTTACAGATGGAAAGGGGAGGGAAAAAGGAAGTGAAAGATAAAATAATATTAGTAATATTAATTTAATATTAATATGTAAATTAAAAATTAAATAGTTAATATCAAACGTATACAACTATTGCACGACAATCAAAAAAAAGCCGTGACATAAACTAAAAATAAATTAAACAAAATCGGTGCTTTGAGCACTCTCTTACTTATATTTGTACAAAAAACGGACGAATACAAGTTAATTTCGTGCACGCGTATGTTGCTTATGTAAGCTTATGTTTACCATAGTTCGTACTATTACTGCGGAACACTGAAAAGCTCAGCTGACCTTAATGTACCGGGATTCTCTCTGTAAGAAATTCAATGTTCAGTTGGTCGGAAAAACTTGGAAAAATAAAATATATTATTTTAAAAATAAAGCTTCAACAGGGAAGCGCAATAATAAGGGCAAAATTATTTATAAATAATTCTACGTCAAATTATCATGGGTTTCAAAAAGAACACATTCCGATTTAATAACAACGTAAAATGAGAATTTATAAATTATAACTTCAACATTTGGGCCCATAAATCTAGAAAACGGCGAATATAGGAGAAGAACAAATGATGAGCTTAACGACTTAATTAAGGGCGAGGATATAATAAGGTATAGCAAGTCGCAGCGTTTAAAATGGGCAGGACACGTAATTCGAATGGATGATAATAGACCACAAAGCAAAATTCTGCAAGCAAGACCTAGCCTAAATAGACACAGAGGAAGACCCCGAAGACGATGGGAAGAAAATATTGAAAGTGATGCTGCAAAGCTTACAATCATAAACTGGAAAACAACAGCAAAGGATCGTGATAGTTGGAGGCAGATCGTGAAGAAGGCCAAAGTTCACCCCGAACTGTAGAGCCAAAAGAAGAAGAAGAAGAACTTCAACATTATAACCTTTACAAAGAACTTGTAATAATACTGTTATAATACTGTTATATTCTTCTGTAAAACGAGCTATTAAGGTTGTCATAAAAGTTTTGTTTTAAAAGTAATTCAGTAACAATTTTATATAGAGTACTTACAAAGGAAAAGTTCTATTATCATCATGATAATGGCAGTTCAAGAAACTCTATCAATATACAATGTAACTGTGACACTGGAAATAAAACACTTTCTGTACATATTCTCAATATTTTTATGTTAAAATAAATTTTAATATACTTTTTAAAAGCTTGACACGACGAACACAAATTATTTTAATGCAAAATTAATAATTGTATAAGAGTTTCTCGTTTAATTGCAATATCATCACTTGCTCCAGCTACAACATTGTTTATGAGTACCATTATTTCATATAGTATTGTAAATAAATAAATTAAAAATCAATAAACGTTATTTTTAACATGATTATTACAAAGTATGTAGCTCATTAGATAATTGACAAATAAATATTTTAATCAAAATTAAATAAATTAATTGCATGTCTTTTACTTAAAAAAAAAAATTCTTATAAGTGATATACACAAATTGTATTTATTTTCCACTTGAATTTGCTATTAAGCTTACTGATAAAATTTCATAAATTCATGCAGTTATTAGCAAAGCGGAAGAATTATTTTTATAATTTGTAAAAACTTGTCACAAACATTAACGATTAGATACGTGAAGAAATTTTAATAAAAGTTTAAATTTCTTTTTATTGAAATTTTTAATAATGATACAAAATTAAAAGTTTCTAAAACAAAAAAAAAATGGATTTCTTTAAGTGCAAACGTGTTGTACTACATTTTCCTTTTTTAAGTAAAATTCACAACAGTTGCGATAACAATTGAAATTAACAACAGTTTTGTTATCGTTTCAAGTACTAAATGGCAAAGTCCGATATTACTGTTTTAGAAATTCAATGACATAATTGAAGGTTGACGTAAAATTTAATTTTAAACCTGAAATTTCAAAATTGAAAGTACCTACTTAAAAAACAAAATTTTTTGACAATTCATTTTCTTTGAGAGCAATCGCATTTTAATCTTAAATTTTACTTGAAAATTCATTTATACAGCATTATGCACGTAAATATGGGTACTGGTACTTAAATGTTATTAAATCTAATATTCAAAATATTTTTTAATTAATAATTGCATTAATTGAAAAAAAAAATAATTATTTTGCTTTATTTATTATTTTAGTTTGGGCTGAAACTGGTGATTTTCGGGAAAGTGCACACAGTTCTATGGCTGCGGTAGCAAATAGCTTGGATCATTCTCAACTTAATTTTCAAACATCAAATGTTAGAATTAAAAATAGAGACAGAAAATTTAACGAAGGTAAGATTAAGAATTTCTATGTTATTCATTAATTTCATCTTAATTTTTTGTAATTGAAATTAATTAATTACTACAAAAAATGTAATACTACACCTAAATGACACACGTGGTATACATTTGCTAGAATATATTTGTTCAATGTGTTTATTTAAATGTACACAAAGAGAAATCGCATCGGATTCGGGTGTCCAATTCCAAGCGTGAGTTTTTGGAGTTAAAACATTATTTTTATTGTTTTTGGCCGTCAACCGTACTTTTCTAATAACAAAATATTTGTTGCCGTACGTGTCAATTCCTGTTTTGACGCAGCGGTGATAGAAAGTTTTCAAATGCCATTTTTTTTTTATTGATTGTACGTTTTAATAACAATAATTTATCTGTATCTGTATGTGCATAGTTGTCATTCTGCCACGGAGTATTCATAAATGTTTAAGTCGTTCTGAAAATGCTAATGATTTGAAATAAAATCAAGTGATTGAATTTGAAAGGAACTGAGTGCGCATTAAAAAATAGAGTCTACTGACCGGATCCGAATTTAAAATAGTGTAAGATTAAATTGATTAGACAACTACTGTGGGATCCGTATAAGTTTAAGCTAAATGAATCCGGCAAATTGAAATAAGACTCAAATATGGTCATGTGTATTATTCAAAAATGGATTAAATGAGCTATAAGAATTTTGTACGAACATTTCACATTACTTCTAATGAAAACAAATATGTTACGTTCGTGAATTTTCAGCACGACGGATATTTCTTATAAAGTATATAGATACAATTTTAGATTTAGGAAATTTTTTAACAATTAACTGTAAGGGCATTTTCCTAATTAAATGAAATGCAACAATGAAACAAAATGATAATTCAAAGTAATAAAACACTTTTGTTGTAATGGGGCTAATTTTTTTAATTATTCCTGTGGAAATTTCAAAAATGGATTGAAAAGTGGGAAAATACAGCTATGTTCTTAGAGGTTACTTAACAAATTCCGTATAGGTTGCTTACAAGAATAGAATTCAATTGTAAAATTTTTTGAAACAAATATTTGTAGCTATCTACTTTGAATGGCCGCAAATTTGCTTATAAAACATTTAAAGCTAACCTAAAATATTTTTCTAGAACTGAAAGTGTTATTGTCTTGCAGTATAATATCGTACTAACTAAAAGTATCTACGTGTAGCAAATTTTTTGTTAAGTAAGCGTTTTAGTTTGAAGAGACTTGCTGAATATATTTAAGACATTTAAGAATTTAAAGCATTGAAAATAAATTAGAGCTGCAGCTGCGTATAGCATAAGAAATAAGTTCATCATATTCCTTGTTACCCAGATATATTCATACATTATATCATTTAACATTTTGATCTATTTATAAAAAAATTTGTTTTATACAGGGTGATTCAGAAAGGTATACAACAAAATATATACCATTTGTTAGAGGGTCGAAAATGGATAAAACTTTTGTTCCGGACTAGATGCGAAATCTCAAGGGTTTCTGAGATACAGGGATTTTAACGAATTTTCACGAAATTTCTACTTATCCAAGCTTTTTTGATTATAACTTCCGTTCCGAAAAAGATAGGAGCTTCAAATGAACAGTTTTTAAAAGGACTAATACAGCGCTTGAAGGCAACATATTACTTGATTTTGTATTTTATGTACTTTCGGAATAACAAGCATTCGAACTTTGGAAAAAATCTAATAAAATGAACCAATGGTATATGTTTTTGTACACCTTTGTGAATCACCCTGTATAACTGTAGTAAAATTAGCGACTTTGATTGAACAACGCATTTAAAAGTACAGATAGGCTACCTTTTTTATTGTTATTGATAATATTTTTGTATTTTTTATAAAGAGTGTAGATTAAAATTAATTTTATTACTTTAAATGTACGTGTTTAATTTATTTCTTTTCCTATATGCAATTTGGTGCCTATTTGCCTGATTGCCGCTGATAAATTTTGAATTTATTAGTTGAAAATTTTTTATTATACTTATATTTCAAATCAACATTTGTACACATTGTATGGCGCATGTAATTATTATTTATTTAATGTAAATTATTTTCATTTTCATAAATTGTTTGCACAAGTTAAATGGTTTATGTCAAAAATAAAAGAATTTTTTTTTTTAAGAATAACCTGTCAAACTCATTTAATCTCCTTTCTCTATACATAAGTATATTTCTCTTTATCAAAAGAAAAACGCCGCTGTCGACGCCGTACAATAAATAAAGTTTAATATTAAAAAAAATTTTTTTTTTTTGTGGTGGGGGGAGAACTGAAACACAAACTCGAAATTCAACTCTCAAATTTTGTTAGCCACTCAACAATGGTTTTTGTAAAAACTGTCATGTAGATTTTGTGTACATACTTATGTTTTGGATCTCTATATCTAAAACACACCAGTTAAAAAAAAAAATTTATTATCCTTATCAACGTTTAGATACTGCGGCGATAAGATTAAATTAAAAAATTAAAAATGAGAAGAAGAAAATAAAAGTAATTATCATAAGATTTTTTTTTTTTAAATTCGTGTACTCATGTTTGTATGCACAGAAATAAAATTAAATGTTGTAATTGATTGAAGATTAAATATTTGCTTTCTTAAAAATTAAATTCTATTTTAAAATCGCCTTCTTTGTAGAAAATATTTTATCTAAATTTTTTTAAGACTTCCGTCTTCTCATTACTAATTGGAGTATTAATTTTTTTTCGGTTTGTAACTTCGAAATTTGAAATGGTTTGAAATTGTACGAATCATAGGAAATTGTGCAAATGCGCCGGAACAATTTTAATTCATTCATAACAATTTGAATTTTCGATGTGGACCTATTAAAAAATATCTGTTGTTATTTAAAACAAAACTATTCATTTCATCGGGAAGAGAAGTCTTCATTAAAAAAACCTTCGTTAAAGTTGTTGTAAGGCAGATTTTTATCAAAATTGTTAGGAATGAATATTATTGTTAGCATTTTTCCTCAACAAAGTTAACACACTCCAGTGACACATTGTTAACGCAAAAAGTTCATATTCGTAAAGATTCATGGTTCAATAGTGATACTTAGGTTTTGTTTCTTTAACATGTAAAAATTTAAAGATTAAATTAATTAAAAGAAATAAATGTATCCTCCTTGCCAATTGGAGAACGATAACACAAGTAATGTCAGAATTTAGAGATAATTGCTACTTTTAATTTATTAAAAGTAGCAAATATGCTTTTCTTGCTTCTCTTATCAATTGGGGAGTGATAACACTTGTAATTTTTCTGGGACATCAAGGCTTCGTCAGTTAAAAACTATGTTTGTTTATTGTTTTAGATTAGACCGTTTCAAATACTTTTAATTAAATTTTCCTCTGAATAATTTTTTATATTAAAATGAATAATAGACTCAATATAGAAAAATCATTTCTCAGCTATCAAAAAAAAACAAAGAGTTTAAAATGTGCAAATGAAGGTGTAAAATAATGGCACAGCACATTTAACGGTTTTCAAATAAATCTTTTAACTCACGAGACTTAAACAGATTCAAAATAAATATTCCAAAATTTTATACATATTGGTGGAACTTAAAATAAAACTAAAAGCGAAAATGATTATATTTACTATTGAATAAAAATTTCATTTAATATTTTTTAATAAGGGGTAATTTTTCAGCTTTTATCTGTCAAATTTAAAGAAACGCATTTATTTGAATCGACAAAAGTAAATTGTTGCCATTAACTTTTCCGTATTCATGCAAATATTTGCAACCATATGTTTCAGATTCATTCGAAGTGTCCAAGTCTCAATGAGTTTTTCACACATTTTGCGTGAATTACGCGATAATATTCGTCTTCACGAAGTGGAAATTTTGAACTGTCCTGTAAAGAAAAATGAGCCAAATAATTGATTTGGTGTTGTTGAATGTAACGAATCACGCGTGAAATATCAAAAACTAAAATACGAAAATTGAAAACATTTTACTCGTTATATCAAATTTTATTATGCCTGTTATATGTATATATATATATATATATACACAAATGACTCAATAATACTTTCAATAAATGAAACATAATATTTGATTTTTAAACTTTTATACCATTCTAATATAGATTACAAATTTTTCAATTTATCATTGAAATTTTCTTATTCTCTTTGAATAAATATAAAAAAACGAAAAAAAAATTTATTAATATTTTTCAAACCGCATATACAAAAATTCTCAAATTTTCTATATTTTTTTCTTTTTCCTCAACATTTCTTTATTATATAGTTAATCGATCATTACATGAAACTACTATCAAAACAGAAAATACAGCAGGTCTGGGTGTACATGATGACAACATCGCTTCTACAGATGATCAACAAAAAAATGATAAGAAAAATAAACGCCAACGGCGACAAAGAACACATTTTACATCTCAACAACTTCAAGAGTTAGAATTAACGTTTAGCCGTAATCGATATCCAGATATGTCAACAAGGGAAGAAATAGCAATGTGGACAAATCTAACAGAAGCCAGAGTAAGAGTAAGTATAAAAATTGAATAAGTATACAAAAAAAGAAAAATAAATATGAAAAAAAAAAATTTGAAAAAAAGGGTGAAAAATAACAAGAAATTTTATCTTTATGGTCTCCGACACATAATCGTATACATATACTAACAAACACACACACTGTAAGTAGATAACCATATTATATTGGTTAAGTGTAATTGAATAAAACTACTACAGCAGTTCATTGTCAATACCTGGTTACTATTATCGTTACCGTTGAATACCTACATATATGAACTGTAACTAAAAAATGATTTTTTTTTTTTTTTTGGTTTGACGTGACGAGTATTTTCCCTAACTTCCAAATGGTGTTTTTTTTTTTCAATAAAATTTTTATGACTTTTATTGGTTTATTTTTTGAATATAGAAGCTAGTTGTATCGGCAACAAAAAACAAACAATTTTTTGTTTTTTTTTTTTTGTTTTTGGAGTTGTAATATTGTTTACAGAGTTATGTAAATTACTATAGGTTTACATTTGAAAATCTAAAATAAAAAATTATAATAGTTTTACATTGAATTCCAATTTCCCTACACTGAGCTCTTTTGGCTTTGCTTTCTTTGTATTTGTTGTTGTTTTGTAAATTTTTTGATTAGAAGATTTTTAAATGAAATTGAAACTCGAATTTAAAGAGAATTTAATTGAAGAAAACAAAATACGTGATGTAGAACGAAAAAAGGTAATGATCAGGTATTATGTGGTCTTATGACAATATGTGAAGTAGCTAAAAATCGAATGATAGTAAAAGCGATTAATTAGGATTATAAAAAGAAAGTAGATTATTGGTGAATGAATCGTTTTAAAAATTATTTTCTTTTATAATCTAAATTGATTTTAATTGCAAATGATTGAACAATTAAAAAAAAATTATGTTTGAATTTAAGTTGATTTTTTGTTTTAATTATAGAAGAAATTTAGTTTAGCAGTGAAGGTAAAATTTAAGGCAGAAAAAAATTTTTTCTTCTTTTAATTATGGACCGGAACCCTCGCAGCCCTTCTCACTTCGAATTATAGGATCATTTGCCATTCGCGATTCAGTAATATGAGCACCATTCTTAGGTCCCTGACGAGTCTCAATATTATGTCTACCCGGAATCGTGATACCTCCGAAAGGGTCACAAAGTCCCGCCCGAAGCACTTGAGCCTTAACCGGCGAACAGCCTCACACTCACATAACAAATGCTCCGCCGTCTCATCCTCTTCAGAGCAGAGACGACACATCCCAGTCTCAACTTTGCACATTGTTTTCAGATGAAGCATGGTAAGACAATGTCCAGTGAGAACCCCAACTACAATCCTCAAGACTGGACGCCCTCAACGATACCAGCTATCTCTCCCATTCCTGAGGGCCCCACGAAATTTAGAATAGAAAATAGAAAATATTGAATTTTGAAAATTTTCTCAAATTTATGTGTTTGAGTAAAAATAAATTTGACTTTGTTCATAATTTCCATTTATAAGAAAGCATGAAATTTGTATGGGTTGATTCACATATTTGTTGATCATTCTGCCATTCCAAATTTATTCGAATTGCAGTTGGAAACGAGTACCAGTTTAAATAATTTAAGAAATTAGATCTTATGGGTTTAAAATCTTGAAAGTTTCTCAAATCTTTCATTTTTAAATGCTGACAAATGTAGTAGTGCCATACTGTTAAAAAGCGAGACTTTCAATAAGCTATATAAATTTCGTCTAAGTACTAAAATTAAAAAATTCAAACTAAAAAATTTTAAAGGGTAAAATGTTTCAAATGTTCAAAATGTGAAAACTTTGTTTTGTGCAACTTAGCGACTCTTTCCGAGTGACTTTTTTGGAATTTTCGTAAATTACTCCAAAATTTTGGGAAATGTCTTGCATCAAGAGAAATTAGTAATAAAACAAACTTAATTGTAAAACTAACTTTAGTCGGCATTATGTACATAAAGTATTATCCTCGTATCCTAATTATAAAATTCATGCGACGGCTTTTTAATTTACTTTTATATTATAGTAATAAATTACATTCCGTCGGCAAAATTTAAAAAGTTAATGATTTCGTTTATGATTAGATAACGAAAACTATAAGAATAAAATTTATTGAAATTTTTTCAGCTACATCACTTCCCCCGAATAACTTAAAAGGCTATAATTTTCTAAACTGCTATTAACAATGGAACCACTCGCTCTTTTTAGTAATGAATGTAATATTATTGCTTTGTGATTTTCTTTATAAAAGAAAATCTTGGAACTTCGTGGTGACGTACAAATTGACCAACTCAATTTTAAATTTCTTCAATTTCTTTTATTTTAAATTTTAAAAATCTTTAAATTTGCCGAAATTAATTCAGATCCTTTTTTTGTAAGTAAGCACACAAGCACACACATTTAATGATCTTGGGTAATTTAAATATTATATATATATGTATATTAAATGACATTGTTTTAAAAAAAATTTAAATATTTTTCATATTCCATCTGTTAGAATTTTCATCGAAAAATTTATTCAATTAATTTGATTAGCATAAAAAAATATTTATGCAAAATTCTATTATGTATTAAGTACATGGTTTGTAGGTGAGTGTATTTGTACACATAATATATATATACTTTAATATGTAATAATAAACATTATATAATAGAATGGTTCGATACAACTAAAAGAAGAACAAAAAAAAAATGATGACAATGTCAAATGAGTTGAAAATCATTACTCTAATTTGTTGTAGGTTTCAACCGATATGGGTATTTTTCTTATACGTACCTATATTGTAACTCGATGTACAAAAAGGTATAGGGTAATTTATTTTAAAATAATTTTAGTCTACACTTACATATGTGAATACATAATATATTAAACAATACAGTGTTTCTATTCAAATTTTATTTATGCGGTGACCAGGTCTTAAAATAATATTCAACGTACTAATGAAGAAGAATATGAAATTTTCAATGGAGGAAATTTGATGTGAGCTATAACCTATGATGAGATGTGAGACACATAATCAACCCTATTGTATATTTATAGGGTAATATTTCCATATTCCAATAAAATTTTTTTTATTAATGAAGGGTGTAAAATGTGAACTCGTATGCACAAGGTTTACTAAAATGTATTCTGTTCATTTACTTGAAATTTTGAGAAAAGAGCTACCTGTAATACATCCAGGTAAAATACCTTGAGAAATTTAAAACTTGCCTCTTTGTAGAATTATATAGTTTTACATTTGAAAGTCTGGTTCACATGAAAAATTTACTGATTAGCAATTAACGAACAGTATAGAACTGAAATATTGAGTTTCAAGAAAATACGTAAACCAACAGACTAATCGACCTAATAAACGCTAAACAGATTTAATTTACATTTTTTTAACATTTTCCGGTGATCTGATTCAAGTTCAGATTTTGGGCATATGAACCACATTATTTAAATATACAAACATATTGGATTCTTTAAAAAATTTAGGAATTTTGATATTTTTAGAAATTTGCGATTCTAATAAATACAATCATTCAATAACAAGCATCATAAAAGTCAAAAGAATCTGCCTTTTTGAAAAAGATTTAACTTTAGATCAGATCACTGCCGTCTCAAAGACTTATTGTAACACCTCCCTATTTATAAAGCGCCAGCTAGGCCTACAATTCTTACGTAATTACAGATTTGTCCAAGAGCAATCTCTCACATATGAAAAGGTGCAACCACTTAAGTGAACTAAACGTCTCCAACGCTTCACAAAAGTGGAGAATATGAGCAGGCTTCTCATCCTCATCAAAGCAAAAGTTACACAAATTTTCTCCAGATTGTCCCAATTTGTGCATGTGATAGTCTGTGGTGCCTAGTGAGAAGACCGACTTAGTCGGTCCAGCTTGGCCCTTCTGTGACACGGACTAGGTATGAAGAGCTTCGCCTGTCTTATTCTCGAAATTCCGTAAATGTTTAAGGTTATGTTTGTATTATTACCCTCCCTTCTGCAGCGTTTTAACAGTATGTTTAAAAGAAAAAACTAATTGGCCACCTTATTTTTAATGCTATTAAAAATTCAAAAAATTGCACTTGCCATTATTCTGATGAAGAAGAAAAAATATAAAAATTAAAAGCAAAAAAAAAATAATATTTGTTTTTTTGGGTTCAAGAAAGTGTCAGTGATATGAAATTTAAATGAAAACGCTAAGCGATAAATAAAGAAAATAGCGAAATGAATACATTATTATTTTTGTGTTATTTTGTGTTCTTTGTGTTATTTTGTGACCCTAAAAATGTAATAAAACATTGAAATTTTTTTGGTATTTTATAGCATTCCGTACGTAAGGGTTTTTAAACGTAAAATTATAAAAACCACTGAGAAATTTACGCAATAATAACATGTGCCATAATCTAAAAATGATTTTCCCTTTTCCCCTTTTTTTTTGTTCTTTTTAGCTCAGTTATAATGTTCTTTAACTATTTTATACCGTTTTGCACTTTTCGCAACTTTCATTCTAATTTGTTTTTGTTTTTTGGTTTTCTCTATTTTTCTAGAAGGGTTTTCATTTTATATGTGCGACATAGAGTAGAATAATAAACTGCGATGACAAATATTGCTTTATGGACCATTATATTACTTTGTATAATAATTTTTTTTTCCTCTTTTTATCTTATTATGTATCTTATTGTATTCCGTGTCACAACCCTTATGTTAATAAACAAAATATATGGATAATGGATATATGAAACAAAAAAAAAAATAACTAATATTAAAAAACATAAAAAAAAATTTTGTTATTAAAATAAAATTTGTTAATTTTTGTGATAAAATTTATGATTAAGAATTGTGAATGAGATGAGTGAATAACTTTTTTTTTGTGACTATTAAATTATGAGTAGCATATGAAAATTTTATATAATAGTTTTATTTAAAATAAAAAAATAAAGAGAAAATAACCATAATGGGTTGCACTACAATAGGCAGGCAATTTGTCAATATAATTTACTTATATTTGAACAAAAAATAACAA